TGATGCACTCTGGCAGCAGCTGAGTTCCTCCAGAAAATCAGAATATATCTGCAGCTAAATCTTAAAATCCACCCCTTATTTCACAGCAGTGAAGGAACACAGCATTAAATGGAGTTTGTTGAGGGGTTTTTTTTGGGGGGAGGGGGAGGAAAATAAAAAGATAACTAAACTTATACACTAGAAATTCATATCTATCAACCAACAAACACAGTGGAGAGGATGCACAGACAAACAGGATCACGGGGAGGGGACGGGATCACCCAGGGAATGGTGGTGGCTGAGCTGAACAGGAATTCAGTGCTCACTGCAAGAGGATAAAACACTTTAGGAAATGCATCGGCTTGGACTCTGTAAAAAAACAACAGCAGCACAACAAGAGCTGGTTTTCCAGCACTGCAAATGTCAGAAGAAGCTAATATCCAAAAATATTAATAGAAGGCAGGCAGGGCTGAATGCAGAGAGAAGGAATTTCAGGGTGTTCATTGAGAAAGTGAACGAACTCCTCGAAGCCGTACCCAGCTCCACGGGACAAACTGAGATTTAATTCTTTTTTAAATGGATGTAATAAAAGTGCCAATTTAATTTTGTGTTCAGTGTGCCTCTGTTAGAATGCCTGAGCCTGAAGAATGTTTTCACTGCTCTTTGGAAAACAATTCCCCACAGCGAGCTGGAGGGGTCTATTGAATTTCGGTGTATCTGGCACTGAAAACGCGTCCTAAGGAGTGTATTTTGGACTGGAAATTTATATATGGAAAAAGCAGAACGTCAGTAAAGCTCAGTGTTAAATACTTAACAGGTGTATTTAGCAATGAAATTAAGATTTGAATATGCTTGCAAAGTTTTTATGTGGGTTTTGTTGTTTTGGTTTTTTTTTAAATCTGTAACATGGCTGTAAATTGTGTCACCAAAACTGCTTCAGAAATCCAGCGAAGGATTTCAACCCCATCACGTTCATCCATTTTTAGCAGACAGTAAGTAAAGTGCTCTGAACACCCAGCCAGGCTTCAGATGCATTGTTAGGCTATTTTCACATTATTTTTGCAGAGTACAGCATAGGTGTACGAGTGGGAGTGGAGTATGGCTGTACTTTAAATGCCACACATAAAAACATTTTTTTTTCATTTTTTTTTTTTTTGCATAGGCCTCTCAAAAAAATTCTTTCCAAGTATGTAACTGTCCGTAGCTACACAAAGTGATTCAACTACTTCATATGCACAGTCAACTGCACTATGAGGTGGCAGAAAACTGTAAAATAATCCCTTTATCCCCCGTTCCCTGGAACTCTGGATGACAAAGCAAACCACAATCATCACTGCAAGATTTCCAGCAGCACCCAAGGACACAAGCAGTCAAAGCCTGGGATTCCAGTAAAGTTCTCCTACGTTATAACAAACAGGAAAATACCATTTCCTTTGCACTGATCCACGTAATAAAATATGTAGAAATCTACTTAATTCAACTAAGACACTCCTGTATCCGTAAAAGTTTAAAGTATGCAAAGAAACTTATTTTAAAATGTTCCTCCAGTTTAAAGAAGAAAATTCTAGTGAACAGTTACCTTGATTAAGCAAAGGGACAGAGAGAAAGAATGTACAAGGATTTCCTTAACAGGACTTCTGAGTTTTTTTCAGCACATTTACAGTGCTATAGGAATTTAAACACAATACACTGCTCTGCCCTGATCCCTTTTCTGAGCTCTTTGCCTCGACACAGCTCCTCATGGTCTGCCCCCTTATCTGGCCAGGGATTCAATTAAAGGAGAGCTGTGGAGGGAGGGAAGTTTTCCAAGCTTTTTTTGTTGTTTTTTTTTTAATTTCCTTTTTTTTTAAGATCACAACAGAATTTCCAGTACCTTAAAGCTCACTGAAGTGTTTTTCTGACACTCGCATTTTTCCTACCTCCCTCATGCTCCAAGTTTTAATATTCCCACATCCCGTTCCACTTCAGCTTCAAAACATATCATTTCACCCAGGATGACTGCACATTAAATTTGTAGATATATACACCACCAGGAGAAGTCTCTCTATGTATCTATATAGTTTTACATGCATCTCTATTTTAATTTGCAGAATTGCATTCCAAGCTTAACCCATTAACGCTCCTGAAGAGGCAGGTTCAGACCACATGAACCTGAACATGGCACTGCTCCAAACCAAACCCTTCATCAGATGATCTCAAGCACTATTCTGTATATAGATATATATATATATATATATATCTGTGCGTGGTGGTTGCCAATAAATGTGTTTTTTTGAGTAAAAAAGAGTAGCACAGATAAGGAAAAAAAAAAGGTGATCCATAAAATCATTCAGTATTTTTCATCTTCAATATTGTTGGTTTTTTTTTCTTTTTCCCCACAGGGAGATTTTGCTTATTGTTGCATTGTAAAAAAGAGAGAAGGGGAGAAAGAAAAATACATGAGTGACTGTCTGAACACCAGGCCAAGAGCAGACTCATGATCAGAAGCTTTGCTGTTCCTAAATTCCAGCTTTAAATACTGAAACACAACTATAGAATAACTTCCTCTCGGAATTATTCTAGGAGCAAAGGAATCTCTACCTGTAACCAGGAAGAATATCAGACCTTCAGGGTTCAAACCCCAAAATCCAATATCTTCTTGCAGACTCTCAGGGCCAATACTGAGTATTTCTGAGAGCTTGGTCTCTTGCCTGTCACTCCCAACGGGGGACCTGGGCTAAAGGCTGCCCTTATTACCAATTAAATACCTACCAAAACAAAAAGAAATTCACAGATGATGTTTTCTGAGGAACTGAAACCGTACAAATATGTTTTCCAAGTATAAAAAAACCAAACCACTCACATCTTACATGCAGATCACTAAAGAGCATCCCATTTATGTGCAGCGTTCATCTGCTTTCACTTGAAGACAAGATCAACTTTCATAATTAATAGCTCTTAATATTTAAGCTTAAAAATGTTAATCTGCTGTAAAAAATAAAAACTAGCTCCTGCTTTACTATCAAATACACTCTTCAAAACTTCAGGTGCACATATAAATCTTTCAGCTCTGGATTTCTACGTTAAGCACTTACTATAACGTTCAAATAAACAAACTGGAAATTCCCATTAAGCCCCATGACCCAGGCACTGTTACCAACCACAAAAGCGTTTCAGGAAGAATTCCAGCGGAAGAGTTCCCTAAAAATTGTGTAAATTTTTCTTCTGGAAAACACGTATTGCAGTAGACACATAAACAAGATTCTTCCCCGAAGTGCCACAGCACAAGATCTCAACAATTCCCTGTACACAGTCAGGCTTCACTGGGAACTCCACTACCAAATTCCCAGCTCGCTCTTTATCCATCTCATCCCTCACACAGCATCTTATTAAAGTAATTACTCATGAAAACCAGGGAAGACAGTGTTTGGATATTTACAATAAGGGCAGCAGCAGAGTTTGTTTATAGCTGTTTGTAAACATATATTCATAATTATTTTGCTCAGAAGCACAGAGCTGAAGTTGTTTTTGTCAGCACTGCTTTCCCAATTCTCCCTCCATTAGCACAAAACTGGGATAGTTCCAACACTGCTACATCGGCCAGAAATTAAAGCTCCTTTTTTTTGTAGCAGGATCTACTTCTCGTTTAACAATCAACCCTTAAGGTCTGGAATCTGAAAACTAAAAGTGACAGCAGCCCTTCCCATTAGTCTTTAGACATCAAGGAAACAGGGAAGCAGCCTAAGCCTTCATGGTTACTGATACATCCTAAGACTGGGAAAAAATTCAAGTGTGGATATTATATCACCCCTAAAATCCCTGACAGTGCTCCAAAAAGAGGCTCCCGAAAAGGAAACCCGAAAGAATGAGAAGGGGCAGAAAAAAACTCAACCAAAAATCTATTAATCGCTTGTATTTCTCATTATCAACTTCCACCTTTCCAAAAATTCTCTTGCAGTTTCACATACGAGCAAAACCAACACCACCAACCACGAAGACAAAAATGAAATTCCAAATGCTCATTTGTGTCAGCTACTGACACCAGATCTCAGCTGATTCACTTCCAGCCCACACTGACTTTCAGTTTCTTTACGGACTAATTCTCATAAAAAAAACAAAAAAATCCCACATCCATAAAAATAAAAGGGGCTTTAGGAGGGAAAAAAAGGGACATATGAAATACCCCGTCCTCTGTAGTGCAAAGATCATTCGAGTTGGATAATGATTTATCAGGCCATCTTAACATGTTTGAATTGGCAAACTCTGCTAAATGCTAATCAGCAATTCCTAAATGCTTTAGGCAATACTATCATTATGAAACACTATTACAGCATTCCATGTTGAGAGAGGAAGAGAAAACTCTGAGTTGATCTAGCACACCAAAAACTAGTAATCAAAAGTGACCTGAATGTTAGGAGCCTAATACTTATTTCAAAGTATCAGAAGTTGTGGTGAGTTAAAAAATCTCTCGTATTTCAAACACATCAACAAAATCAAATCAAAGCTACACAGCACATGAAACCCCTTCGAGTTGCAGGAATAAAGTCTGGCATTTTTTTTGCCTGGTTTAGGGAAAGGAACGAGAATGTGGGAGAACACAAAGCAGCCAAAGCTCTTTCCTGCCCTCCTCACAGTGCAGAGGGAAAAGCCAGCAACTGCAGGGGATCTGCATGGCAATAAAACAACAAAAGACACTAAAAAACCCTAAACAAACAACAAAACAACCCCCAAAAAATCTTCTGTGCTGAGGCCATCAATAAACTGAGATTTTACAGTTCACTCTTTTAAAACGAATGCTTCCTCTAGATATTTAAACAAAATTAATTAAAGGAAATATACTTAACAGCAGCACCTCTGCCGAGTAAAGGATTCCCAGCATCACAATCCCTTCTCCTTCCCCGAAATTTTCTAGTGCACTTAAAAAGCATCAAGGGGCAGAGAGCAAGCTTTTTTTTTTTTTTTTCTTTTTTCCTGGGGCTAAATTCAAAGAAGGCTTTTTAGAGGACATTGTGCCCTGTGATTAACTTCTCTTACATACATACTTGTCACTTCTTGTAAGAAATCCAGACAGGGTCGGCTACTTCCAGAAATACTTATTGAAACAGCCAGTGGGGTCTGTCCTTCATAGTTCCTTGTGTTAGTGTCTGCTCCGTAATTATACAACATCTGTGCACAGAGCACATCATCTCTAAGAGCAGACAAGTGTAAGGGTGTCTGTCCGTCTTCCAAGCGCCCCAAGTTTGTGTCGGCCCCTCTCTGGAGGAACATTCGGCAGTAGGAGTGATTGCTTTTGATCACAGCGTATCGCAACAGGAAACCGTTCTGAATGTCGATGTTGGCATTGTGGTCCAGGAGGATTCTCACACAGCTCGACCTCTCCCGGATAATGGCCAGCTGGAGTGGGGTAGTACCTTTGTCGCTGAGCGGATCAACCTCAGCCTTGAACTCCAGGAGGAGCCTGACAAACGAGTCCCTGCCGTAGTGGGCTGCGACATGCAGGGGAGTCCACCCGTCGTTGCTCTTGGCGTTGATGATGTCACTCCTGTAGTCGGATTCCAGCATCAGGCGCGCGATCCGCGCCCGGCCGTGCATGGCCGCGTAGTGCAGCGCCGTGAAACCTCCGATCAGGTCCTTCACCGTGGGATCGGCTGGAGGGAAAACAGAATTTAGGGACAGTCAGAAGGTGGGACAGCAATCCAGTGCTGAAAAAAAAAAAATAAAAGAAATAAACAAATAAACAAAAAAAAAAGCAAAAAAGGGAAAGGGGAGAGGAG